AATTTTTATTCTAGATATTAATTTATAACAAACAATGATAACTTTTGTATATTTATCTAGGCTTTTTAATTTTTAAGAATAGAAGAGGAACTAGTATTAAATGGATTTTTTTTTATAAATCACAATCAGATTTTTTGTATTATAAAAAATATTTGCGAATAGGTTTTTTATTATTATTTAAAAAATATATATATTGAAAAGACTCATAATTATATACTACTTCAATTGACTCCGTTTTTACTAAGGTAACTATTTTACTTTCGAAAATTAGAATTATTCTGTTTAAGATTTATTTAATTAGCGATCAAATATTTAGAAAAGTATTTTAAATTTTAAATTTTAGTCGTTAAATTCTAAATCCTATTATTATATTAAAAATGTAAAAAATCTTGGAGTTYAATATTTTTTTTATGTTTCGTAAATTACCTATACTGGGTAATATGACTAGACTGTTAAACAAATATAAAAATATTTGTAATAGAAATTTKTTAATTAGACCCGTTATATCTTATACCTATAATARTGAAAATTGTCTTTGAAAAATGTAATGCTAATATTAAGTCGGTATTACTACTAGTTTGTTACTAGCTTTTATTATTATTACCAAACTAAAAAATAAAGTTAATGAAAAAAAGCCATTAGATTTTATTTATATTTTTTTCTTGAAGGTACAAGAACTCGAAATGTTTGGTGTGCTCAAAAGAATGACTCAATGCCAGTACCCACAGAACTTTGCGACCCAGGTTTGGAACCAATAAGATCACAATCATGTTCAATGGACCCGTGTCCACCGAAATGGGCTCCAGCTAATTGGACATYGTGTACACACAAGTGTGGAACAAATGGAACACAAACTAGAGAAGTATACAATTTAAATTAATAAAAAATAATTTGACGAATAATAATTTTGAATCTTTGTCTTTTATTACACTCTAATTAAAAACATTTAAATAATGATACAAAATTAAAATAAATAATTATAGTTACATAAAACAACATTTTTTTGCTATTATTAACTAAGTTCGATACCTACTAATAAAATTTTGATTCAGAAACACTTTGGATTGTTTTAAAATCAATCGATATTCATATTTTATGTGCATTACAAAAAACGTATGTGGTTTTAGATTGGATGTGTGCGAAGAATCAATGGTATCGATGTTCCCACAGATAGTAACTATTGTGAACAGTATGATGGAGTTAAACCAGCCACTGTACAACCATGCAATGTGGGGCTAGAATGCCCATTATGGCACACTGATCCTTGGAAACCTGTAAGCAAAAGATTTGTTTAGCACAATATTAAATAGTTATATTATTTACAAATTATATTTATTAAGTATTTTATATATTATTTGGTTTAATATAAAATATAAAACTTTTAATTTTACTTTTAATATTCAATTTTTGGAGATAATTAAAGTTATATTATTATTACAGATTACCTTTATATAAATATAGTAAATTGTATAACATTGGTATAGTGGCTTTTTATTTGTTTTGAAAAAAAAATGAAGACTAGTTCAAGTAATTTGAATGTTTTTCTAGAATAATTTACATAAGTTTCTTTATATTTTTGTCCTTATCTTTTAATTGGAACTCGATAGCAGACAATTTGGACGTATCTTAAATAAAATGATACCACTGAAACAGAAAACATTAATTTAGATAATTTTTAATCGCTTTGAGAAGTCAAATATATCATGAAAATAAATAATTAACATAAAATATAATATAATTATATTTTATACAAATTATTATGTATAATTTTCTATGTATTATAACATTTATAACTATCTTAACTTTGAATACAGTTTTAATAAAAATAATCTTTATTAATTCAAAATGTAATAAACTGTAGGAATCTTGTAATATGTAATTGAAATATAACGATAAATGGTTAATATCACACACTAAAAAAATTGTTTTAATTTTTAGCTCATAATAAAAATATTTGTTTAAATATATAAATATATAAATATATAATTAGATTATTTTTTTATTTTTTTTTATCAACAGTGTAATCAACTATGTGGAGCAGGTAAACAAACCAGAAAAGTCAGTTGCTACAGAAAAGTGAATAAAAAAATTATCGTTTTAAGCGATGACGAATGCGATACGAAAAAACCAGAAACAGAAAAATCATGCCAGCTGCGTCCATGCGAAGGTGTCGATTGGGTGACGTCTGCATGGTCAGGAGTAAGAAAACAAATCATTTTTCATATATTTTATCAATGATAATTTAATATTTTACTAATTTAATTTAGTGTGGTGATTGTAATTTGGATTTCGAAACGAGACAAGTGATTTGTGCGAATGCTAAAGGAAAATTATATGATTCTAAATTTTGTAAGAAATCAAAATATCCAGAAATCATAAGAAATTGTACCCCTTCAGATGCATGCGAGTATCAGTGGTACGCCACTCAATGGAGTGAGGTATATTGAAATGTCTATTAAATTATTCTTATTTTGTTTGATATGATATATTTTATAATGTGATGTGAAAATATATCTAGTGTTCATCAAAATGCAGTACTGGAAAACAAATCAGAAAAGTGTTTTGTGGATCTTTAGTCGGTGAATCAATCAAAAAAGTTGATAATTCAAAATGTGATCCAAGCAAGAAATACGAAGATACTAAAAACTGTACTGGAAAAGAAATATGCAAAGGAGAATGGTTTTCAGGCCCTTGGACTGCAGTATGTTTAAGCAATTAATATCTAACATTTTTGTTTAATTATCTGTGGTACTAATTCATAAATTATTTGTATATATAGTGTTCTAAGCCTTGTGGTTCTGGAGAAAAGAGTAGAAAGGTATTTTGTATGGTCGGCAACTCCACTGTGGACGCTAGTCAGTGTAAACCTGAAACACTTTTATACTCTAGTGATGAATGTAATAAACAGCCTTGTGGTGAAGGTAAAAAGATTTTTTCTCCATATCAGTTTGCTCATCTATTATTAATTCTAATATAAAAGTATTACATTTTGCTCATTTTTTTTATAGATCAAATTATGCCTGTCGAGTCTAGGAAACCAATAACGGAAGAAGACACGCTCGAAGAAGAAGAATGTGAAGATGAAATGATAACTGTTACTCCATTTGCAATTGAACCTAATTATGAAGTAAATTTATTTCTATTATAATAGTATGGTTGTGAATTATAATATTTAAGAGGGGAGTAGTTTACTTTTAAAACCATATTTTTCACATGTTCTAATAAATTATTTTATTCTAGGCTACAACATCACCGTACACACAATCACCCGATGTCAATATGAYTGATACAAATTCTAAAAATACAATGACATCTGAAGAATCAAATATATTTACTACAGATTYAATGAGCACCGAGAATGGAAATACTACTCCTTCAGAAATAAATGTAACATCTACAGAAAAAAAAACAACTATTACTACTACTTCCCCAATCAAACGCAAAAAGAGACAAGCTATTCCAGATGCTCAACTAAAATTTTCGAATGCTAAATCTACTATTGTTCCTAAGATTTCAAATGATTTATCAACTAATTTTGAGTCATCAACCATTATTTCAACAACAGATATGTCAACCACTGATATATCAACCACAGATATTTCAACAACGGATCCAACAACTATTGACACGCCAACAACTATTGACGTTTCTTCGACAATTGACTCYGTGACACCTGTTTTTCCAGCGTCACCGTCCACATCACCTGAACTAACAACAATTACATCTCAGACTGAAACTCTTCAAACTGAACCAATAACGAGTGATGGAAATATATCTTCTTCGGTGGATATTTCATCATCTACAGCTGATTCTAGWACCGAAAATAGTGAAAAGACCACTCCTATGGAGTTAACAACAGTGTCAATGTCTTCTATTGATACAGACAGCACTGTAGTATCTGATTCAATTACTGAAACAAGTACAGATGCAATGATTAGTACGGATATTACATCAACCATTAACTTATCATCAAGCACCGAACCATCTACGTCTCTTTCATCATCAGAAACAATCGCATCATCAACCGAGATATTAGTTAGCACTTCTGACTATACTAGCGAAACGTCTTTAGTTATGTCAACATTATCTTCAATGACTAATAAAACTAAAAAAAGTATAACGCTTAGTTAATTCATAGGGTTTAGAACTAAAAAAAAAAATTAATAATTCATTAAATATCTTTTATACATTTATTGATAGCGAATCCATTGATTGAGGCTTCAAAGAAGGGCAAACGTATATGTAAGAAGAAAAAGAAATTGGTTGGTTGTCAGACATCAGAATTTGGATGTTGTTTTGATGACAAAACACCTGCTAAAGGACCGTTTAGTGCTGGTACAACTAAAAAAGAAGACATATTTTATTTAAATATAATTTTTCTTTTAAATACCTAAATCTAGTCTAAAATTGTAATCAATGTTTTTGTTACAAATGTTACTAGGTTGTCCAGATGTACATACTTGCAAAGACACAGAATATAATTGTTGTTCAGATGGTGTGACTCCTGCAACTGGTCCTAAAAATGAAGGATGTCCTCCTTCAGTATGTAACGCTACTTTATATGGCTGTTGTTCAGATGGCTTTAGTATTTCACTAGGAAATGATTTCGAGGGATGTCCTGTTGAGGTAACCTTGCCTGTCTTGACAACGACATTGGCGCCTGATCTCGGATGCAAGAATACACAGTAATATTAATATATTTAACTATAAGAATTAGTCCTTATTTGTAATTGTATTAAAAATAATTATAATTATTAATCATTAATAACATAATAAACAATCATTTTTATATCAGATTTGGTTGTTGTCCAAATGGAATAACTCCTGCTACGGGACCAAGTTTTCAAGGATGTTATCAATGCGTTGAAGGTTCAGGAGAATGTGATTCATGTTTAGAAACGACATATGGTTGTTGTGCAGATAATGTAACAGCAGCTACAGGACCAAACATGGCTGGTTGCCAAGATAATTGTAAGTTTCAATATTAATGATCTTAAATTTTTTAAATAAAACGTGATGGAAATAAATCTTAAAGGATTATATAGGATTAATCGGTAACAAAGTAAAAATTGTGTATATATTTAGGACAAGGTTCTACTTAGAACTGTTGAAAATTTAAAAAATAAATTAATATTAAAATAAGTCTTAAGCCACATTAATTTATTTTTTTATGAGTGTTTAAAATACGTATAATATACTGATTTATACTCTAACGATCTACATTGCTTTAGAATGTATTATATATCAATAAAATATGTATCTTAGTACCTTGAAATATTTCACTCCAACTTAAATTATGATTTCTTTTACACATTAATATTTTAAAAATAGTTAGACCTATTTCAAGATATTTAAAGGAATTGAAAAAATTTTTTTAATAAACGTTGGTAAAAAATTTCTTTTGTTCAAAAATATTTAAAAATTGTAGTGATTTTAGTTTAAAAATTATTACAAAAYTCGTCAAATTCGTCAAAATATTGGTACAAATTGATTTATAGTTAAAAATGGATTCAATTTTTAATTTCAATACCTTGCGTATAAAAATATAAGTGTTCCTCGTGATATTTTATTTTAATATCTATTTAAAAATGTTGAAAATACATATTATGCATATTTATTTYATAGATATTTGAAGTTTATGTATGACAAATCTGAAATGTTAACAAAAAATTATATTTCATTTTTTAACAATTTTTTGTTTATTTAATTTTTTTTTCCAATTCAAAAAATGTTAATCGTAAGATCCTAAAAAATTTTACCATTATATATTCTATATAAAATTAAATTTTCAAATATTTAGAGTAAGTTTAAATTGCTGTAAAAAACTTTAACAGATCTGTAAATATATCTGTATTTCTATAGTAGTGATATATATTTTAACACATATTAAACATTAATAACTCCTACTAAACTTACTATATTGTATAATCCAATAAGGGTAACAGCTATAATGCTATATGGCCACGCTCAACTTTTATATTTATATTTTGAATTTTTATAAGAAAAGAAGTTAAAAATAAGAGGTCATTCAAATGCAATCTACCAGGTTGTTTAAGTTTTGATTTTGGCCTTTAGTTTCCCATCCTTGTATTTTACAATAAATATAATAAATTGTATTATTCATAATAGTAAAACAATTATTTAAAAAATATTCAAACTAACAACACATGTTATATTCCAGTGACAACTGATGAATTTATTTCCGTAACATCTACCTCAGAACAACCAACTGACTCATGTCAATTATCAGAGTTTGGATGCTGTCCTGATGGAGTGACATCCGCATCAGGGTTTAATCTTGAAGGATGTGTAGGAGTTGACTTCGATAATTGCACTTATAATGAAAATGATACAGGTAAATCTGACAATAAAAATCAAAATGAGTACTATAAATTATAATGTTTTACATTCTTAGTTAATACATTATAATTAAAATTGTTTAATTAAATAAATGTTAAAACTGTTTAACTTTRATATACTAATCAAATGGTTGAACAAAACAAAAAGTAATTGCAAATTTTACATCAATATCTGACTTATTTTTAGAATGTTTATCTGCATGTGCTAAAGAACAATTTGGATGTTGTGGCGATAATGTTACTGCTGCACATGGCCCAAATAAAGAAGGCTGCTGCTTATATTCCCAATATGGCTGTTGTCCAGACAATATAGTACCAGCTAATGGCCCTAGTCTGCAAGGTAAATTTAAAACTACTCGCACATTTCTTTGCTTGAATTATTCTATATAATATGTTGAATACCTAATTTTACATAGGTAGGTTCCTAAGTATAATCTGTAAATATTTAATTTACTATTTATAAAATAAGCATATCTTTTGCAGTTTTAATGTGATATGACTTGGTATACATAAAAAGAGCTGGCCATTCAACGATAATATTGAAAATTATTTTTATTTTAGGATGTGGATGTATTTATACYCCATTCGGATGTTGCCCGGATAATACTACAGCTGCTAGAGGACCAAATAACACTGGCTGTAGTTGCCAATACACTGAACACAAATGCTGTCCAGATAATTTCACACCAGCTTCAGGACCTCAGTACCAAGGTTGTCCGTGTCATACATATCAGTTTGGTTGCTGTCCTGATGGTATTACTAAAGMGATTGGTCCAAATTCACAAGGTACAATGCTGAAAGTATACATTCTTAAAAGATTTTTAATTCATTTATTTATTTTTCTGTCTTAGGGTGTGGCTGTGAATATACTCAATACGGATGTTGTGGTGATAAAAATACACCAGCTCTAGATGAAACTAAAAATTGTAGTTGCGAGGCATCTAAATATGGATGTTGCTTAGATGGAATAACTGAGTCTAAAGGAGAAAATTTCGAAGGATGTCAATCTAAACCTATTATACCTGGAGGTTACTATACAACTATAAATCATTGATAGATATTATATGAAATAATAATATTAATTATGAACCTTTTAGATAGATGCAAAGAGCCCAAAGACCGCGGTAGCTGTTCAGATTTCACTGTTAAATGGTTCTTTGATACTGAATATGGTGGTTGTTCAAGATTTTGGTATGGTGGATGTAATGGAAATAATAATCGCTTCAAAACGCAAGAAGAATGTAAAGATATATGTGTTGAACCATCTGGTCGAGGTACATAAATACATAACAATTTAATTCACAAAATTATTTCTTGAACTACTCAATTGGAAACATTTAATTTTATAGATGTATGTTACTTACCAAAAAGCGTCGGACCATGTGAAGGATATTACCCTACTTGGTACTACGATCAGGACCGAAAACAATGTGCGCAATTTGTTTATGGTGGATGCCTTGGTAATAATAACAAATTTCAAACACGTGAAGAATGTGAACATCTTTGTGTCATTCCTGATACTTTGGGTATAAAAATTAATAATTTAATATGTTGAATGTATATTTATTTATTTTTTATTTCGAACTATATACAGATCCTTGTGAGCAACAACTTACACCTGGTCCTTGTAAAGGTAACTTCTCACGTTGGTATTATGATAAATCAACACGTTCTTGTTCACAATTTACTTATGGTGGCTGTAAAGGAAATCAAAATAAYTTCTTGAATAAAGAGTCATGCAATCATAAATGTATAAACCCACTCAAAACTCAAGGTAAGTTTAATACGTTTTAGATTTAAAATAATAGATACGTTTGTGATCCGATTTTTAGTAGAAATAGATAGTTTGATTTTGTAGTGCATGAGAGTAGATAAGCTTAATAAATAATACTATAATACTATAAATACCACATGTTATATGACATTAATTAATTGGAGAAAAAAAGAGAAACGAATATAGAATTTTTAGTGATTTATTGTCATAAATAAATACATCTAATTATTTTCTAGAAAAACTAGACGAAGATGTTTGCAAACTACCAAAGGACTCCGGTCCATGTGAGGGTACTATAATCTATTGGTATTATAACCATGAAAATATGAAATGTAGGAAATTCGTGTATGGAGGTTGTGGTGGAAACACTAATAGGTTTCATTCACAATCAGATTGCATAGCGAATTGTTATTCAGAGTTATTAATTAATGGTATATAAAAACCTATAGTCTGTAAATTACAAATGGACTTGGGTTGTATAAGTACTCTTTCAACTTATGAAGGCTCTAGCGCTGTTGATTTGTTCTAACAATGTTGGTTTTAATAGTTTAATATATTAATATATAGTAATATTGTGTCTAAATTGAATGTATTAATCAATGTTTAATTATTTAAACTTTGTTCGCTACTAACATAACATGCATGTGGGTTCGGTAAATATTTAGAAGAATGTTTGATGACTGTCGCTCGGGGTGATAAGAATTGTGATAAGAAGATCCCAAGGTGGTATTTTGATAATAACGAAAACGCATGTAAACCTTTCTATTATACTGGTTGTGGTGCCAATGCTAACAATTATGCGACGCAAGAGTCTTGCGAAAGCAAATGTCCACCGAAGAGAAGTAAGCCATTATAATGGTTAAATGTATAGTATTCATAATATTTTTCTGGAAAAATAATTCAAAAATTCATTAATATTTCAGAACTCGATACATGTAAATTACCTGCTCTTGTCGGTGAATGTCATGATTACGTAAATCGTTGGTACTTCAACTCTTTGGATGGGCGTTGTAGACAATTTTACTATGGTGGTTGTGGAGGAAATGAAAATAATTTCGAAACAGAATATCAATGTGAAAATAGATGTATCRATTCTGGTCGTACTACAACCCTGGCACCTCCTCAATTTTCAAAAGGTATGTTATCAAAATGAAAAAAGAAATTCCGTAAACAATGATTGGTTTTTTAATACAATATATAGACAAATGCTTCTTGAACCAAGACCGTGGAAATTGTAGCAATTTATCTTCCAAATATTTCTATGACAGACGAGACGGAGTTTGTAAACAATTTATGTATGGTGGTTGTGGAGGTAATGACAACCGTTTTGATTCTAAACAAGAATGTGAACAACAGTGTTTCGATGCACAAGGTAATTAAAATATATAACATTGTAGCTGGTAACATGAGTTTAGTAAAAACATGAAATCCTAAAAATAAAGTAGTAAGTATAGGTATGAACAATTAAAATATTATACCTAGTTTTCTTTTCTAGATCTATGTCAGTTGCCAAGAGTAGAAGGACCGTGTAGAGGAGATTTCAGACAATGGTATTATGATAAAAATAGTGATAGATGTTTCCAATTCCGATATGGTGGGTGTCAAGGAAATACTAATCGCTTTAATGACCGACAATCATGTGAAGCACGTTGTGTACAAAATGTCTTAACAACAGTTGCTTCACCAATAATACCTGCAACACGACCAAGCGATGTTTGTCTAATTCCACTTGATCCTGGTCCTTGCCTTCAAACCGTAATATAAACTTATTCAATACTTAAAATATCAATAAATATAAATAATTTTTWATATTTATATATAATATATATATAATTACTATAGGTTGATATGTGGTATTTCAAAACTTCCTCAAGACGATGTGAATCTTTTACTTATAGTGGTTGTGAAGGAAATGCTAATAAATTCCAATCGGTTGAAGAATGTGAAAGAATTTGTTACCCGTATATTGATCCAAATGGTAAATAAAAATGAAAACTAGCTTTCATTTTTGATGAAACATAATGAAACTTGTTTATGTTCGACAGCAAATACAATTGAACAGATAACAAACATTCCAAAACCAGATGATCCACAAATATCCACAGACATTTGTGAAGCAGGAAAATTGCGTTGTAAACAACTTTCTGAAGAAGCAACAAGATGTCCGTATGGACTTGAACAATGGGTTAATGCTGTTGGTTGTGAAGACTGTCGATGTTTTAATCCTTGCTTGCCAGGACCAGATCAAAAATCGGTTTGCCCTGCCGATTATCAATGTATAGTGGACGTAATTACGTCAGATAACGGAGACTCGAAATATAAGGCCACATGTAGACCMGGTAATAATATTTATAAAAACGAATGCAATTTCATTAACTTTAGTCAGTTTGACTTTAAATTTAATTARYTACCTTTAAAATACAAAATACAAATGTATAACTTACARGTGTAAATATAAAAATGATACCTTCAGATCTAATCTTAAATCAATTAATATTCACTAGTGTTTTTGCTGAAAATCATTAATTGTTATAATATTTATAGTTAGAAATAGATCGAAAGACAAAATATGAAATCAAGTTCTATTTATCGTATTTGCAGTATTGAGATAATTATTTATTATTCTTTGTTTTTTTCAATACCTGTATATTTTGTTTGAAGTATTCAAGCCAGGAGAATGTCCTCAAGTTGCCATATACCAGAGCGACTGTGCTGAACAATGTAGAACAGACGCTGATTGTGTGGGAGACGACAAATGTTGCTATAATGGATGTGGTACTTTCTGCTTACGTCCACAGCCATCCATCTCAACAACAACAACACCTTCGACGACCACTGTGGTAACACAAGAAAAAGGTAAAATATTGGGACCTACTTATCAAAAGTATAAAATGGTTATGATAAATTTGTAATATGTAATTTAAATATATTTATTATTATTATACATAATATGAACAGTGGTGCACTCAGCGGAGCCTTAAGGCTTTCCTTTGGTACATTTTTTTAAAAAGATTAATGTCCAAAAGTTAATTTCAAAAATATTATTCTTTGGAATAATAAAACATAGTAAAAGGGAGGAGAACGAAAAATATATTAAACTCACACAAAAAAAAATGAGGGTGTGAGCCTTACTTTGAGAGACAAAAATAATGAGATCTAAAATATTATACATCTCTAATAAATTATTTTGATTTTTCTATATGTTTTTATGTTCCAACAGAATCACCTCCGCAAATCGTCACGGTCGATTCAAACGTAGAGGCCGATGAAGGTAACTTTGCCACTCTCAGGTGCATAGTCATCGGTACACCTACGCCAACGATCGTATGGCAGAAAAACACTACATTGGTAATGATACTTAAAAAATCAATTATCAATGTGAATCGAAACTATGTCTTACTGCAGTCAAATAGTAAACTATCATAATTAGTAACGTTCTTAAATTTCTAATAAGCCATTCACTTGTCATTACAGTTTGCGAGCACCAACAAATAGAAATTCCGGGAATTTATAACAAAATTTATCTATATTTTGTAAATCTTAAAATAAAATACTTCATACACCTTCCCAAACCCTTTAAAAAACCATTAGTCTTATGTGAATATTAGTGGTGGTGAGTAGTATTTACTACATGCAACGTAAAAAAATTATAAGACAAATTTTCGATTACTTTGAGAAGACCGACGAAAAACAAAACTATTACCGACGACAATTAGATACTAACAGATATTATCATTGAGCGTGTGTGTTTGTATACTCATATTCCAGATCGACGGATCGGGTGGTCATTACAAGCTGTTTGCCGACGGTACTCTACAAATCATTGGACTGTACAAATACGATTCTGGAGTATACATTTGCATGGCAAGCAACGGTATCGGTGAACCGATCAGAAAAGAGGTTTACTTAACAGTTAAAGGTACGAGATTTATTGTTTTCGTATATAATACATGCGCTTCATAYTTTGGAATATTGCAGTACGCGTTTGCATTGGTAGACTATCTTTAATCGTATAATACCAGCTTTCATAATAATGTTATGTAGACAAGTTTTTTCTACTATACAGCACCGTGTCCTTTAAGTTAATGCAGGTGAGATATATAAGTATAAACGAGCTTGACGAAAATKTATGTCTTGCCAACAGCTACAACCCTAAAGGACATTACGCATGTTTAAATCATACCATTAGTATTACACGATGTACTAATCAGGTTTTTGTGAATTTGGATTACTACTTATCTAATATGTGAAAAACAATTTTAAGATTGAATTTTTTTGAAAAATATTTACACACTTTCATAACTACAGCTTTTTTCTAAATACACCAACCTGACATTTAATGTCTCTGTTAATATTAAGGTGCGACATAAAAAATTTAGTTTCAGCCGTTTTTAACAATTTAAATTCAACTCCAATGGTTTTAAAATGTATAATAGGTTACAATAATATCTGTGTAGCCACAGATTTTTTTTTTCAACATTATAATTTTGAAACGAATTATGGCATTTACCTAAATTTAAAGAATTAGCCGGATACAATAAAATATGCTGATATGGCATATTGGTGTCTCCTCATATTCGTGATGCTTGTAAAAAATAGAAGATGATCAAACGTATTACATAATGTTAATATTATAATATTATGAATTTAATACTTCCGGGTTCTCTGCATAACGCACTCATAATAATAATATAATAATACAATCCTACTACGCTTACTTTAATTTACACTCAATGTTTGCATGTGTTTTTGCACCGTTGGCTGGTGTTCTACTTCGTCTTCGTGTTCTTCTTGTTCTTCTACTTCTAATTCTACTTCCCGTACCCGTGTACTCGTCGTCCCCGCCGTTGTGCAGACCCATCCCCTCGACCCGCGAACGTTATCGGTGAGGAGAGCACGGCCGTCATCGTCGCCCTCAACAGCCCCACCGTGCTACAATGTTATGCGGTCGGCTGGCCGCGGCCAATCGTCACTTGGTGGCGTGCCGACCGGATGTTGCCGATGACGTCCGAAACGTACGAACAGCGGAACGACCATTCACTGTACATCCGGATGGTGACGATCAACGTACTTGGACCATACACGTGCCAGGTATACAACGGCATTGGCCGAGCGTCGTCGTGGAGCGTCACTCTCCAGGCTCACGGTACAGCCGTCAATCAACCTTATAACCCATACCTCGTGCCACCACCAAGACACCCAAGCACCGGTGACGTTATCCGACTCAAGCCGATCGTCGTCAGGCTCACCAGGCCACCGCCCATATACAGGACGGCCACGTCGCAACGCACCGATATCGAGACCACGCAGGCAACGCAGCAAAAGGTCTTTACTGGTAAGTGCCCCCCCACCTGCGACTCCATTGCTGCCATCGTTTAAATTCCCTGCCATAGCGCTATGTTATATCCGTCCGCATATTTTGACCTACGAAACCACTACAATGTGTTTGCAACAACATTTTTCGTATAGAAAAGAAAATGATAAATCAGGTGATTAGTATTCATGCAGTGAGTAACAGTTTCACTTAAAAGTAGTTAACATAGAATTTATACCCTGTGACTTAAAATTTTAGATTAAAATGKGAAAGTCTATGGAAGATTTTTTTCAATGTACTATTTTGATGAGTAAACCTTTCTTCTACTACTCCAATTAACATGTTGACAGATATATTTAAGCTTCAAACAAATATAGTTTTTTCTTAAAAAAAAAAAAACAAATAAAAAACGTGTCAATAGTTAGGTAGTTGTCAATTAATAAAAATTATAATTTATTTCAATGTCACGTGCTCTTATCACCGGTCTACTTTATTTCGTCATAATTAAATATTCTTAGTAATATATTTTTTTTTGTTATATATATAAAACATTATAATATATACCTGTCTTTCAACAGGAAACTTTAAATAACTTTAAAACATTTTTGAAATAAAAAAATTAAATATAAGATATAAAACAATTGTTGAGATAGGAAAAAAGTAGGTTTATCTATTATATCTATAGTTGCTATTTGAATTTGTCTAATATAATTTGTGTTACTTACTATTTAAGTGAAACTACACGCTGTATATTATTACCATGGGTGCCCAAATATAGTTATGTATTTGTTTTTGAACCAGATCAATGTTGTGAAATATAATTTTTGGTACAGATGGTCATTACTCAGGTAAAACGATAAATTTTTTTCAATTGTGGATTTTTGGCACCATATAAAAATAAAACAAAATACACGAAAATCTTCTTTTGCATAATACTATACTACTTTATTAAATACGTACATATAGGTAATATTAAATTATTACCATTGCATTTGGTTTCCTTTTACTAATAACTGTGTTATATATTGGCGTAATGTAATATCGGTGTTATCTAACACATAATTGATTTAAAAATACTAAAATGTTGCTTTTAAATAACTAATATTAATTTTCTATTGTATTATTAGTCTAACAGATTGACACTATTCATAMCAAATAAGTAATATATTTGGGTGGTACTTAGTTGAAATCAATATTATAAAATTGCGTATTCTATATGGATGTAAGAAAAACACTACACCTAACACAATTAATTTTCTTTGCTTTTGGTTAAGGGAAACATTASATATTGCGTGGTACGTACATTATATCACTCAATATTATTTATCATAACTAATGAATTATTAGTTTCGAGAATATTTATAATTTGTTTGGGTTATTATATTCTAAAGTTTATGGGATTTGCTGTTATATAATAAAATAGTTATTAATTTGATTAGCTACATTTGGTATGTATTTTCATAATCATTTAGAACAATATGGGAYACTTTATCATGTAATTATTAACTTTTTGAACATTTATTTTGAAGCTGACAGTCAGCTAACTCGGTGGTACCTACTAGAAATCAAAAATAATGTTCGTACAAACATCTCAGTTTAAATTTTTCTTTTTTGATTGGCTTAAAACTGATACCGTGTCGCAATGATTTTAATTGAATATTTTTCTGGCACAGTCCCTGTACGAGTTAATATATCTTTGCCTACTACAACGATCGCCGTCGGTTCGGATCTGACGATTCCTTGTTCAGTGGATGGTTATCCGATACCCACTGTGACCTGGTACAAAGACGGACAAATACTACGGAACAATGAACGGACTCAAGCGACTGGTAAGCGTGTGTACCTACTACAAATGGCGCCATTACGATTGTTTTAAATTATGCAAATCCGCATAATGAGTWTAATATACACTAATATACCTACCTACCTATATGACTATAGGTAGGTACATGACATTACGCTTGAACGTGATTTTTTTTTCTTCTCTTAGAAAACAAGTTGGTCGTCGTCCGCACAAATGCTTCGGATTCGGGTTCTTATAAATGTGAAGCATACAACTCGTACAGCTCCGACGAGAAAACCGTAAACATTACAATAGAAGGTGCGTTCATTATAATATTATATAAAAGCAGCATAGTACATAATGACACGTAATAATAATAATATATTTGCAAACTTTTTTAAAAAAAAAAAAACGCTTAACAGTGGAGCAGGATAGGAGGGAAGTTGTTTAATTGTCTCTATATGATAATATGGAATGCTGTAATGAAATTTATAGATATAGATAAATATTTTTCCCCAAATTCCTTAATTTATCGCGGTAGACGAGAATTTTAACTCGCAGTTTACAAAGTTAATTCTGAACTTCGTCAAGAAATTAATACCTAATGATAATAAATTACATTATTATAATATTGKAAAAAATGATTTTACGGTGGATATTTGTTGCATATTTGTCTTTCAACGGCGCGGCGTAGAGATTGTAAATTTTAAGAGGTTCTACGTATTTACGATATATGTTTAGTAAAAATTATAACGTATTTCAATTTATTCATTACATATTATGTAACGAATAATAACCAATTTTGGTTATTTCGATCACGATATTCCACGATGTCGCGGAGAATGAGGCTTTAGCACAATAATGATATAATATCATAATATCAAATAATTAAAAAGAATAGTGCTTTTGTTTTAAGCCTTTGTTTTCCTTTGTGCTTCAGGCTTATACATTCATCCAAACTGTACGGACAGTCGGTTCTTCGCGAATTGTTCACTGATTGTGAAGGGATCCTACTGTAATCATCCGTACTACAAGAAGTTCTGCTGTGAGTCGTGCACGCGAGCCGGTCTGCTGCCAAACAACGATTATCAGACCAACTTCCCGTACATCAGCAATACAATCAGACGGTTCAGAAGAGATCTAGTCAACAAACTCCAGAGTTTGAACTTATTCTGAGTGGAATGCAACGGCTGATCGCGTTGCATTTTAGTCATGAATTCATGATTTAAAAAATTATTATACATTATAAGATTTAAAAACAAAAACAGAATAATACAAATTTAGATAATATCGCTACACTTTATATATTATTTGTTCGTGTCACATAATAATTGTATTATTGCTAT